TCCGTCCAGCTTACAGAATACAATTTCGTTCTGGGGCAAAGTGTTTCGCAGCTTTAAAAATCTCTACTAACAAATCTTAAGATGAGCTCTAAACCCGCTGTTAGCAGCTTTACAGTCACAATAAATATTTCTTGACGTTGTTTAAACATTTATCACTTGTACGATATTTTCTATTTCTTAAAGGAAGTAAGGATAAAGTATATAGAACCAGTTAGTCATAATACTCTTGCTTATGGTAGGAATTGAAGAAATCATTTTCATCGTATTGTTAAATTCATCAAAATGGCTGCGTGAGCAACAATGACATTTGCCTGAACATTAATAATTTTTATCAGTATGCACAAAGATTTTGTAACATACATTCATTATTATTAAATATAATAATAATAAATCGTTTATTTGCAAAGAAAGTGGTATATTTAGATTGATAAATTATAAAAAAACGCACATTCAGCCACATAAAAATAGGCATGCAAATATCATATTAATTATATATTTTAGTTTTAAGAGTTTATTTTTATCCAAGATGCTTATTTTGGATAAAAATAATGTTTTGTGTTCGACAACGTGTTGTTTTGTTCTCATTATAATTTAAGTGCTTTTGTTACTTTATTATTATAACATTCTATTTCAATATGTCAAATGAAACCTGGCGATTCTTAAAATTCTCTTATACACCAAAACTTGGTTATTTGAGATTGACGGAGAGCTTCTTACCAGTTCTTCCCGGCTGCTCTATAACCTTGATTTTGAAACTCGTAATTGATGTAATGTAGATCGTTCTTTTCACGTTCATAAGTATGTAGTAACCAATATGAATCTACAAACTTTGATTTGAATTGTCCCTAAAATATGGAAGTTAGTCTTGAATATAAAATGCGTTTACATAAGTCAGAATCCATAAGATAAGTGTGTACATTATTGTTACCTAAATTTTGCCGACAAGATAACTTCACCTATTAATGAACTCAAAAGACAACTTATTAGGTATTATTGATTTTATTTTTATTTATATAATCACACGTTTTCCCCGAAGGCATAGGAAGAGACCACCGATCTATACTTGCTATAGTCCTGACATTCCTTTTCTCCCTAGTAGGTACTTTTAACTTGTCCCTCCTTTGTACCACCATTCCACGGTTACCTTGTATATACTTATTAGGTACCAGAATACAATTAAAAAAAAAACTTCATTACCAATAAATAAATCAGTGGCGCTACAACCTATTTTATGTCTGGGCCTCAGATTTCTGCTGTGGCTGACACACTTGTCGGACTAAGACTTGTCGGTTTCCATACGATATTTTCCTTCACCGTTCGAGCGAATGTTAAATGCGCACATAGAAAGAAAATCCATTAATGCACAGCCTGGGATCGAACCTACGACCTCAGAGATACCAATAAACACATACTAACAATTAAAAGACTCGTGAGTTCCGATATATTAGGTAATTGTATTACCAAAAATATTAGACTTAATTTATTATTTAACGTTTACAAGTACTAGTTACATATTACTATCTTCTTCAGACGTAATGTTAAGCTTTTCGAAAACAGTGAAAACCTTTGACTCGTCTACAATCTCCATTTAAACTTTATTCATTGTTTCAGTTGCAACTGCGTTGTAGTCAGGCAAGCTCAGATTGGATTTGTCTTTCAAAGTATTCTTGGGAAGAATTAAATCTCACTGTAAAGTTTAAAAGGTTAACGGAATTAGTACAATTGTTTCGATGTTATTGTAATTCTTATTCATCAATATATTAAAAAATTAAAAGACTAAGAAATATGTTACGGATAAAAATAAAGCTAGTTTATAAATAAAATAATATACTTATGATATAAAAAAAATCGTTTCTTGCTATCGCTGAAATACGTAAAAAAAAATTATGTTGCAAGAGGCTCATCTGATGTTAAGTGATATCGCCGCCCTATACCATCGACACTCTCAATGCCAGAGGGCTCGCCAGTGCGTTGCCGACCTTTTAAGAATTGGTACGCTCTTTTCTTGAAGGACCCTAAGACAAATTAGTTGTGCAATACTACAGTGGGACGCTGGTTCCACATAGTGGTGTGCGGCTAAAATTGCCTTAAGAAACGCTCAGTTGTGGAACGACCGTAGACGTTTCTTTATACTGTTTGAATTATATTGGTTGTAGGCTGTCATTAGTAAACCTGCATTCTACGGCTATAACCACTGCGATGACGACATACCCTTAAAAGTGGTAACAAAGTTATTCCGGCCACTAAGCATATATACATTTTCTTAACCTTAGCCACTTGGGCCTTCGGGTCGGCCAGTTGGTGCTTAGACTGGTCAAGGATCCTCCTTTTAGATTGGAGGAGCTGTTCACTATCATTCCTTCAAGTTAGAAATGTTAAATGAACAACAGTGAGAGCAGTGTGGGCGTAGTGGCTTCAGCGTGCGACTCTCATCCCTGAGGTCGTAGGTTCGATCCCCGGCTGTGCACCAATGGACTTTCTTTCTATATGCGCATTTAAAATTCGCTCGAATGGTGAAGGAAAACATCGTGAGGAAACCGGCTTGCCCACCCAAATAGTCGACGGCGTGTGAGGCATGGAGGCTGATCACCTACTTCACATATATATAGAAATTTGAGTGCGGTATTAAGAAGCTAAGAACCTTACAAAAATATAGTGTGATAGCAAGGAGAAACCCTTACCTTAATTGTTCCTACCATACCCAAGACTAATACAACAATACAACCTCATGTAAATATATCTACTTAGTAAATTTATTTTGAATTCGCTCCACCATTAAAGATGTTTCTTTAATAATAACTCTGATAACATGCTTTGTAAACATAGGTATTTTAATTTAATTTACCTTCTAACGGAAAATTGAGCTGAAAAATCAACCCTACTTGGTATCTATTTAAGTGTAAGCACTTGAATGTCCAGCAAGAATGTGACATGTCTCCAAACCACTAACCACCCCACAAGCCTCTACAAACGTGTGTCATTACGCGCTGCCATCGCCCCTTGTAGTAAATGTCCATATAACCGTAACATTGTCCAAGCTAGATCTCTACGTTAAGTCTCATTTGTAATAATGAATTTAGTTAGAGCATAGTCGTTTAGTTGAATTCAATTAAATAAACCTTGCTTAATGTATAAACGCGAGAGTCGCTGACTGTGTAATGTGTAACTTCCAATAGAAGTGTCTCTACTCTCGATACCGCGCAGTACAAAAACTCATTATTGAGATCTGTATAGCTGTTGGTATCTCTCTGGTGTTAGAAATTCTTGTTAGACGTCACATCGCTGTTTTAAAAATAAAATAAATAAATCAGTGGCGCTAGAATCTTTCTAGGTCTAGGCAGATTTCTGAATCTGTTTCATGATCATTTGTTACTCTAATAGGCAAGTAGGTGTTTATCCTCCTGTCACTGAATCCTGTCTAAGGCGAGCCGGTTTCTTGACGATTTTTTCCTACATTATTTGAGCCAATTTTAAATGCGCACATAGAAAGAAAGTCCATTGGTGTACAGCCGGGACCGTAGAGGGATGAGAGTCGCACGCTGAAGCCACTAGTCCAAGACAGCTCTAAATCGCGGTTTTATAGTAGCATAAAGAGTTCACTTGCGTTTGCGCATACACTTGTACACTATATTTTCTGCGTAAATGGTCAGTTTCGATAAACGCCAGACCCCGCTGCCGAAATATACCGGAGAACGACTTTTGATGCTATACATTAAAACCAGTTCCGCTACAACATTTTAGATCCGGCACTCTGATTTCTATAGGTATCTATGTGAAGTAGGTGATTAGCGTTCTTACGTTACACGCCGTCGACTTTTTGGGTCTAAGGCATGCCGTTCCTCACGATGTATTCCTTTACTGTACGCGAGTGTTAAACGCGCACAAAGACAAAAAAAAGGGCACAGATGGGATCAAATCTATGACTTCAGGGATGAGAGTCGCACACAGCTACATATAAACTTGAAGAAGTAAATAAGTGCCATATTAAGTATGATTAATGTGTACGCCAGTAATATAGCTCATTGCTGTACTCTCAATATAAAATAACAAACGTACCGGCTCGATTTTCTCGCCATTTAAACTGAAACATCTCGTAATTTCTCAATTCGAACTCTAACGATTATTTCTAAATTAAAAACAAACTTTAATTGCTTTGTCGATGTGTGTCGTGGCCCGTGACTCGTGGGACGTGTTATCTATTGCAGACTAAGAAAATTTACGATTTTAAAGAAGATATTTGCTAAGCGACTGCAATGACGTCTTTAGAATTTCAAATAATGCAACTGTTCTTGTGTGTCTGTTTATTGGTGGCTCAGTCAACTAGTATTATATTATAAAAAGAAGGGTAAGATTGTTGAGGCTTTACGAATATCAGTGCAATTAAAATTTTATACAATGCGTTAGTTAGAAGTCACTTGGAGTGCAACGCAATGGTGTGGGCCCCATATGAGGCTAAATACAGTCTCATGTTAGAGCGAGTACTAAATAAATTCAACCGTTACCTCTACAAGAGACTGTATGGAGAGTATCCCTTGTATCCGCTTATGTACCCGACCCTGTTTGTTCTGGGTATGGTGGGTTATGACCAGCTAGGCCTCAGAAGAGAGCTAGCTTTGTCAGTGTATTTATTTAAAATACTTACGGGTCGGGTTCATAATCTGGATATAATGGAGAGACTGAGTCTACGGGTTACCGAGTAAAAACCTGAGGCGGTTGGATGTACCGCGCGCACATCCAACTTGGTTAGCGAAGCACAACATAAATACAATTTCTGTTGAGGTAGACCTATTTGTTTGTACACTGGCTGAGTTCACAATAGTTGCTTCCTATATTATTAGTTATAAGTTTTTTATCTAGGTTAATCGGTGTGGGTATAAATATTGTGTCGTTCTATCGAATAAGTAATAACTGTAAAGATAGAATAATGATATGGATAAAAAAAATTAAAAAAAAAGATGTTAAAATTCAACTTTTTTTAAAAGTAAATATATGGAGGAAGGATGGTGCACTGTTTCTCCAACCTAAAGGAAAGATCCTCGACAATTAAACAGGTTGTTGACAATGCATGTTGCTCCAGTAGCCGAAGGTGCTGGCTGGCTGGTGACTTACTGCTGTTTAATGATGCTGAAGGAAGAAGTGACGTCATACCACCCGTTGTTCAGATTAGGGTGTTCTTCTGTTGTTTCACCAATGAGAGGCTGGGATGGTGTTCTGGCCCGAAGGCCCTAGTGGAAAGCTCGGGAAGTTCTATATATTCTTAGCGGCTGGAATGACTTCGTTAGCGTGCTTCAGGGTATTATGTCATCACAGTGATTTGTAAGCGCAGATTGTAGATGTTGGTACATAGAATTTCCATGCGATTTCGGCAATAGACAGAGTGATTCAAGAGGAGGTACCTACTTTACAAGTGAGGGGATGGTAGCGTTAGTTTTATCGTATAGTTTGTAATTAATTAGTTCCAATTTTTTTATGAATAACCTCGTTGGCATTGTTTTTTTTTAATTCTATGGTCCCATCTACCTAATAACGTAAAACAAAAGACAAATGATCACGCATATTGTTTCATTACTCTAACGAAACATTGCATCGTGTCGCGGATTCGTAATTGTCAGCTAATGCACTAAACCAGAGTTCGCCAAACTTTTTTGTGTCGTAGACCCCTTGCCATGTTTTCCCGTGTTGGGTAGACCCCCTACTTACCTGATATTGTTTTCCTGTAAATTTCTAACTGTAGTGAAGTTTAGTGTTAAAAACTTAAAGTAAAAACACATGTTAATTTATAAATTTATTAATTGAATTTAAATTAAAACTACTCAAAATAAAATTTTGTATCTGTGTGTTTATAATGTTTTGATATTATAAGATAGTATGATGTAAGTCAATAGGTACTATCAGTGTATGTGTTGAGATCCACTATCGTTTTCATTTCATGGATCCCCAAATTTTTTTTCGCTGACGTAGACCCCTTGCAGGTTGACATAGACCCCTAGGGGTCTATATAGACCACTTTGGGAATCACTGCACTAAACAATAAAAAGAGAAGAAAGAATAAAATGATTTCGTATATACAAAAAACTTAAATATAAGTTCCAAGTCGGTCCTACCTACTAGGAACTCAAAATATGTAAATAGAATTTATTATAACATAGTGGTTGACTTGATCGAAATTTCACACGCCTTTCACAACCATTACACCATGTTCATGAGTAGTACTGCTCTACTAAAATACATAGAAACATTTCATCATTTTAAGCGTAGCATTTATAATATACCCCAAGTCTCGTAAATCACATGTGACGTACCAATAGAGATAAGCGATGTTAGCCGTAGTGGGTAACTTAATTAAACTGTCATAGGCAGAGTTAAGACGCTCTTAAGTACACCTATGAAATTAGGCCAAAATGAGGCTTTATTTAAGACTGAGAGAGTTATGTATGTCTTTATATTACTGGTGCTTCTTTCAATGATATAACATTTAGAAAGTAGCTATGTTTATGGCCACGTGTTTGAAATATTGTCCTTATTTCGAATTTGATCCGCATTTTTTATTGGTACATGCACGCTGCATGAAGCTGCTGCTGTCGCAACACTTAGATGTTTCGATTGTGGTGGGCCACATAGCGTGCATGGACAAGAACTGATACTATACGAGAACTCATAGGCTCTTTGAATGGAGATCTCGCCAGAACAAATAACCGTGCAGCCGGTCACCGACTCTATGTGGACTGATGACGTCGTCAAGGAGGTTTTCTCCCAGTGGATACAAAGAGGCCAGTGTAGGGTGTACTGGAGGAAAATGGAGGAGGCCTACCAGGAGGAGGTTCAGATGGACCAAATAAAGAGGCTGAGAATGATGAATTTTTCGTTCTGTTCACCGACCTTAATGCTTGCACTGTAATTTCTCCTCTGTAAAGAAATCAGCAGATAAGTTTATCGAAACAAACGTTGATTAGAGTTGCCGCATTTGTTGCCATGGTTACGACACTAATCCATGTAGCTGAAAATATATATTGATAAAATAAGATTGAGATAGCATAAGCTGTATAATAAATATGCCGTCAATATTCGCCCTAATACATTACAACTGCGCCTGGTGGTCATAATTTTGGGCAGGTCCTTTTTTCCCGTGTAAACGTGTCCTGGATTCGTTACTAGGCGAAACAAAAGTATTCCGAATCGGTATCACGTCTGCTGTAACAGTCGCAGAATAGTATCTGCCTTACGGGACCAAAAACTATAGCCAATCGTACTTTCGCACTTGTTAAGCTATTGCATAGCTTCTATCGCGGGCCTCGAGCGTGGAGAACGAATCCAGAAATTCCGTAACGAAAAAACCTTGCGCGTTAGAGCGGGACAGAAAGCATACTGCGTATTCACATCTCTCTTACGAGATCGGTACAGCCGGTGCGCGTTAGAGTGAGACAGACTATATAGGGAGTTAGTCTGAGTCTGGTAGAGTGGTAGATTGAATTAATTTATTAAAGAAAAAACTTGAATTAATATCAAAGAAAAAAAATATTGCATAAATATATAATTATAATTGCATAAGTTGAAAAAAAATATATGCAATAAAATTTACCGCGGCAGTCCCCGAGTGCCACACTCAGTGAGAGAATTATGTATTAAATGAGCAGGCAAGATTTAGAAAGTGCTATCCACTCATGGACACCAGCTTAGCACGGCAGCTTACTAATACACTGCCGGCCTTTAAGGAAGTATTAATTCTATTGAAGGCTCCTAAGTCATGACGCTTCGGTTATACCTGGAATGGCGGCTAGTTGTGTACGGCAAGGAGTGTCTTAAATAAAGCTGTGGTCTAATAATATAAATTAATATATTTTGTATATTGACATGACTGAAGGTGAACAAACAGACTGCATAATGAGACAGTTATTGTCAGTAAGAGTATTATATCAGGAAAATTGCAAGCGCTATTTCCCGACTCGGCAGTTTTCACGTTCTACCGATTTAATACCATTATGCGTTTAATATAACGCTCGTAAATTATGCTCGATTTTATTTTCACTTACGGCATTTCATTTTAATGACGTTTACGTTTTATAATTTATTTTAAATGATCGATAATGCGCTCGCCGCTCTACATCTGATAAACGATTCAACATTTACAATGTTCAGTGTAAAATAAATGATTTTAAAGTTGGAAAATTGTTTGTATGTTCACTAATGTTATAGAAGAGTTTGTATGGATTAAACGGGTTAATATCAGAATACATATTTGTGTTTTTTTAATAAATAAATCCAAGCTTATCTATTGTTGCATTATTTTATAGACACTGATCCCACACTAGGACATTCCTGTGTTGTGGGTGACCAGACTACCCAGGTACAATAAAATAAAAAAAACTACTTAAAAATATATTTAAAAAAATAATCATATAATGAAATTTTATTGTAATTTTTATAATGAAAAAATACATAAATTTGAGCTGTGTCATACGTCTAATACGTAGACTGTCTCACCTCAAACCACCACAAGTAGTGATATTTCTGTAGCTTTTATTTTAGATTGTAGAAGGCGTAAAGAGAAGACATCTTCTAAGGTTTGCACCGATTAATGCGTCTGAATTCGTGGGACATAGATAAATATAACTGGTTGATTACTATTGTGACAGGAAGAATACTAACTTAGACACGAGTTAGGCCATAGATGCGTGGTATAATAATATTTTTTTCTAGTAAGAATAGCTGCTGATGCAATCAAGCCATAAAAGCCTTCAATCTAGCCTCAAAATACATGAAGTTTCGACTCTGAACCTTCTCCTAAGTCAGGCTGTAAGTATACGAACTATTCCACAACACTCCAAAATCTTTCTGAGTACAAATACATATTAAATAGTAAAAACTGAAACTAGTGATTATCATGTTATAAATGAAAATACATCTATCAGAAAATGTTAATTTTGAATGATTAAATACAAATCTGTATAACAAAACAAAAGTTCATGTTTTTGTCAGTTTTGTTACGTTTATTATAACATATTATCAATACATGTCAATAAAATTTCAACAATTTAAAGTTAGAAATAATAGCGTAGCGAAGCTGAGGATGTGGTCTCTCTGGTAGTATATTTCTGTCTTTGGATTCGAGTCCCGGATTTTTTTATATATTTAGCCCCAATTATATATTGCTAAGTAGAATTTATTATCTGTAACTACTAATATATAACAACGCAATAGGTATCATTTTTCTTAAATAGTCGCGTTGATAGAACTGGCTGTATGAATAAAGTTCATTTGAGTTGTTTCTTAGTTTTTCAGATTTCTTTCTAACATTATAATGTAAATAATAATGATTATTATAATAATGATTATTATAATAATTATTATTATAATTATAATTATGTATAAATACTTTACCACATACCCAAAAACTTAGAATCCAATTTTATAGATGTTATATAGATAAAGACTATTCAAAATAGTTTCAGCGAAATATATTTTGTATATTAGCGACACAAGTACCCTAGGGCTCTCTGATAAACCACACAGCCTTTGTGTACAACACAGGTGATTTACAAAACCTTTTTCGAACGAAATTTTCAACTGGGAATATCAAATTGAGTGCTCGCTGAATAAAATTTTAAAGTTACAAGAGAGCTTCCTTTTTGTATACATTATTTATGTGAATTCGATATTCAGGTTACAATTGGTTTCTTTAATGTCTGTTGTGATTTATGGATCATATATCATTACTGTATTTAATTAAAAATTAAAATGCTTTTAAACGCTTTTGGTAAGTTGTAAATTGTTCAATACCTATGAGGTGAAAGTGATGTCAAATCAAAATCATTTATTCATATAGGTACACAATGTACACTTATGAACGTCAAAAATGAAATATGTATTAAATGCTTCTAATTTTACATTTACCGCCAGTTCTCAAATCAAGGGCGTAGAACGAAAGAGAAGAACTGGCAATAAACTCTCCGCCACTCTTTTTAATCATGTTATTAGGAGCTGCAACCATTACACCATGTTCCACATGACATCTTAAGTAATAAATAATAATAAAATAAATTAAAAACAAAGTTTTGTCCTCTATCAGCAGCAGGCATGGTGAAATAGGAGCACGCACTTACATTATCGTGAGAACAACACGCAAATACATAGTCGTCCGTCATTTGCCCCCCAATGTTATATGCGAAATAGTTTATTATAATATAGTATGGCATGATTACAATAGAGTTAATAAGAACCCTAAAGTCTATTCCTCCATGTGGTGGTATGGCGAAAGCGGTCC